GAGAAGGGGGCGGCCAGGGCTACAGCAGGGGCACTGCCACGCGGCCCTTCCCGCTGCGCCGCCTCCTGCCGCAAGGGCTCCGCTCTGGTTGGCAGGGAGGGAAGGAAGAGGACTGCCCTGCAGGGCGCTCTGGTTCTCCGCGCCGCCACCCCGGTTCTCCGCGCCGCCGCCCCCTACAGGGCGGCCGGAGCGGAACAAAAAAAAAAAGCGGCCGTGCCGCCCTAGGATTGGGCAGAATGCCGCCTCGAACAATCTGCCGCCCCAAGCACCAGCTTGCTCAGCTGGTGCCTGAAGGTGGCCCTGATTGTGATGAAGAGCCCCGTAAGATACAAGAGCGAAGATAACTTTTTCGGCAAGAAAACAGCCAACTGAATTGCTGAGATAAAAGTATCATATACCCAGGTAGTTGCTTGTGCACCCACATCCTAAAAGTAAAATGGTATGGCAGGCTACCTGAGCCTGCAAAAACAGACAAAAATCCCTTATCGAAAGCTCTGTGTATGGCTAAAATCATTGGGCTCTTGCCTGAAATTGTCCCAATAAGAAAGCTTAATTCAGTTTTCCTACTTTTGATTTGTTCTACCACCTGTGTGCGCCATACATTTCAGATATGGTTTAATCCATTTGTGTTGGAGCATGCAGGACCCCTGAAGATTTAGAAACTAGGGAGTAGCACTAGGTCCGAGAGTTCATGGCTCATTTGCTCATTTAATTTTTAAAAGCTAAAATTATAAGAAAAACCCCTAGCTTTCATAGCTTTTACATTTTAGTAATAGCACAAAAACTGCATCACTATACACAGATGTACTGCAGGATGAACATTTAAAACAGTTTAAATTGATGCAGTGCTGTTTTAGACAAATAGCTGTGACCATAATACATGACCGTCATAACTGCAACATATCACTAGGAGGAGCTACACACAATAGGCAGCAGTTGCAGTATGAGACGTTGTCAAACTCATTGAAAGGATAATCCCATTTACGTGGGATTCTCATGCATGGTACTCCAAGCGGAAGTGTCACTTGATCAATAAACCACTCTCAAATTCCCTATCAAATTCCTGTCCAGGTACTAGATCCAGTCAGAACTAGATAAATGCAAGTTCAGATGGTCAGCATTACATAACAAAGTAACACCCTGCTCAGAGGCAGAATATCCCCATGATTATAAAGAAAAACTGAAGTGCCAACACAGTCATCTTAATATAATTAAAAGAGTTGTTCTAGCAAAAGCTACAGCAGCAGCCTCACTATACAGACACAGGAGTTGTATCTGCCCTTAAAAAACATTCATAACATTTTATTTTTAAAAAATGTCAGCAACTAGCATCTTGTTCATCAGGATTATCAAGATTGTGAACTAACTCTCCGGGAATGCTTGTTTATTTTATTTTTTAATCCTACACTTAATAAGCACCCATGCAAATTGCTGTAGGAACTGTGTTGATTGTTAAACCGAATTATGAGCGTTCAGTCAACTTTGGGTAAGGTTTACAGAAGTGCTCAGAATTACCTTTACTCTGCTTTCACTGAAGTTAATGGTAAAA